AATTATATGTAAGGAAAACCGCTTATTTTGAATTCTTGTGGTTATTTACCAAAATAAAACTTCCTTAGATAATATTCATTTAAATATAACCTATTAATTCCTGTATCGATGCTATCACGTTAACTATGGAAGATAATGCAGGTAGTCCAGTTAAAGCGAAGCGTAAATGTTATAGCAGACCACATACAAAGGAAGAACGAAAACAGGAAAAGAAGCGACACAGAGATCGAAAAAAGTTTTTAAAAGCGAAGCGTCAAGATGTTGGCAAAACTGTAGGAAATCCTGTTGAACATTCAACTAAACTTCAACCAGGAGTTGCAGCTCTACAGGTCGCCGATCAAGGTATCCAGGCTGAGAACCGTTTGGAGAAGAAAGGAATTCTTGATAAACCATCCAAGATTACTAACATTGAACGCAAACATATTTCACCACTAGAAAAAAGTCAAATAATTGGAAGTGGGACATATGGCATTTGCTATAAAGGCTATTACCGTGGTAATATTCCTGTGGTTATTAAGRCTTTTCGAGACTCGATCTCAAAATCAGAAGTAGTGCGTGAGGCCGCAGCAATACAATAATAGAAGACCTCCAGAAATTAAACCACCACATTTCACTGCCACTATTATTCGGCATGAATTTGGATGTACTGCCTTTCCTGTTGGTAACACAGTTACACGCCACAGAAGATAATAATACCCACACATTGAGCCAAGCCATGAAAGATCRGCTTTTAGGAAGAAGTGAAATGATGGATGTTATTATACAAATTGCTACAACAYTTGGCTACATTCATTCTAGAGGCTGGTTGCACAATGATTTAAAGGAAAACAATATTGTTCTCCACGTGATTTCCGGACGTTGGAATCCAGTCATTATAGACTTTGGGAAAAGCGTTTTAATAAAGAAATCCCAAGTTAAAAGAAAAACCAACCCAGAGCCCTCAAAATATCCATGGATAGCTCCAGAGGTACTGGAGGGCCTGTCTGCCCCATCTGTTTCAAGTGATATCTTTTCTTTGGGACTGATGACCAAACACATCTTTAAAGCTATGAAAGTACAAGCTTTAGAGTCCCTCTACTCGTCCTGTCTTTYAGTTGTTGCAGATGAACGTCCAAAGAATGCGCAAATAGTTGCTGTCTCGCTATTGAGGTTCAAGAAATCTAGTATTGCAAAATGACAACGTAGGCATTGATTTGCTCGACTACTATTAGAATATGAACACTTGTAGCGTATAGCTGCCAGCTAACAATTGACTATTGTAAGTACGAACTTTTAGAAATAACATTAGAATTTTTGAAATTTAACATTTTAAAATACAAACTTAGAAATATAACTAAAACAAAATAATACCATATTGCACTAATCTTTGCACAAATTTAGAATTTCAAAACAATATTTTGCAGATATTTTGATAATTGATTCGTCTTTCATTGATGACATATATAGAGATAAGCTATTTCCCAGTGATGAACTTTTTTTAGAATTAACTTTTATTCGTCTATTTTTATCAACGTAACATGTAGTGTTGCCGGTTTAAAAAAAAAATACTTTAATTGTAGTATTTTCTATATTCGAATTTAGACAGAAAACGGTAGGATATTTACTGAAATAAAATATCACCGCTTTTCGAAAATATAATCAGTATAAGCAGTTTATATAAGTATGAGTTTTTTGAGAGTAAATCAGCAAAACAGGCATGTTTATTATGTTTATTTATATAAATTTGAAATTTGAAATTCTTAATTGCTTGAAATGCACACAAAAAAAACTTCATTTCAATGCCGCGTACTACAGAGACACCAAACAATAACGTAATAATGCCGGCTCTGTGTTTAAGCTTCGTCTAAAGGTCATAAAGACTATTTTTAGTCAAAATGATGATCGATCAATGTCACCACTCGGTGGCTTAATTGACAACTTTCACACATTTTGAGAGGAGATTAGAGACCCCTGCTTTGATTTTTTTCTCTTGTTAAGCTCCTCGGAGTGTACCTAAATGTCATGGGTCGTGGGTACGAAGTCGTGGGTAGTGGGTAAGTCGTRGGTAAAGTCGTGGGTACGAAAAATTCATTGAAATCACGTAAAAATCACATAGAAGTAAAGAAAAATGTTTAGAWACTCTAAAGAATTAAAAAAAGGAAGCAGCAGTAAGTATTGCTCTCAGGAAAGTTAATAACAAAAGTCAAAATTGCTTCACGCTTGTCGTCTTTTTTTTAAATAAAATTATCATTGACTGCATGTGAATGAGAGACAGATCGAATAGAACTAATAATTTCTTTTATACATTTTGGACCAGCACTGTTGTGTTGTCCTGCACTTCATTTCGTTTAAGCTTAACTTATAACTTAACTTATTTGAAAGAGTTCAATTGTCGCTATTGATAAAATATGTTTATATACCATTCTACTGACCCGATATTAAAGAGAATAAGTTTTGGCAAAGATTTTGGACTGATTTTTGGGACATTTGGGATRTAAATTTGAAGCGGTTTTGGTCGTTCTGAACGAGTCTGATTCTGGCATACATAAGAAATAGTTAAGGAACATAATCTGCTCTTACTAGTGAGCATGTGTGTGTGGGTAGGGAGGTCAACTTTTGACACTTCTTACTTAATTTTGACTTAAGGTACTTGCACCGGCTAATTTTGATCATTTTTAGAAATTTCTAATGAATTCAATTATACATTTTTTCCACTTTTAAAGGTTTGTCATTTGTCCATTTACTTTCCTTTTTTCACACGTTTTTTAGAGTATCGAATTACAATAAGTGCTAATTAGATTAATTTTTATTGAACAGGTGAATTCAGGGTTTTTACGTTTTTCTCCCTGAGATTTTAATATTATCGTAAAATAACTTCAGATTGTTAATACTGGCACCGATTTTCATAAACGTAGTTTAAAGACCGTCTTCATGTTCATTTCTTTTAAAATTACACAAGTTTTGTTATTTCAGGAGGGATCATCAAGTTCCAAAAAAATTTTCTGTATAACACAACCTCAGGGAAACGGTCTTGAAACTACAGTTGTTTATCATTACGTCTTTGACCAATCTAAGAAATTTCATGGCAAAAAACAAAACACAGGTGAAGTAAAACACAAAATGCTAACACAGGGTGCAATGTGAAAGTAATCCCTATCATTTTATTCACCAAAATAGCAAAATAAAGGCCGTAAAACCACTAAAATGGCTTCTGCCGTAGTCCTTCGTGACACAT